ATATTATTTTTTAGTTAATTTTAATTTTTTTATTTTAATTTTGTTTATTAATAATAAAAAAATTTGAATATTCAACTAAGCCCATATAAGTTTGAGCTTTGTTTGGACTTCTTTAAGCTTATTTGGACAATTAATTTTGATGTAATATATATATATATATATATATTCTAAACTTTTAAATCCGCTCTAAAATTTTTTAAATTTATTTAGATTGACTTGTCAAATTTATTTTAAATTACTGACTTTAGTGTGTGTGTATTTAAATCTTTTTTCAAAATTTAATATCAACATTTAGTTCAAATGATAGTATAATGCCATTTTTCTCATTACCGATCCGAATAAACTTTTCCAAACATCATCACATAAATCAAAATATCAACAACTCATATTCAATCAACATTTATATGTTTTTATGAAAGAGTAGAACTTTTACAATAAACAATCATTTTCAAAAGTTCGCCCTATAAAATACTCGAAAACTACGTTTGCAGTCATATAATATAATATTAATTAAATCCTAATCATCTCATATGTGATCACATAGAGAACTCTTGCACGTGCCTCGCACTGAGCGAACCTATTTCTTTTTCATTCCAAACACTGTTCAGGCAAATTGCATTAAAAAGATAAAATGATTGCAAATATAAGACATAAGGCATATTAATAAAATACTGAAGATCGTATCAGTCATATAACTAGCGGTCAAAGCACTGGTTCAAATATTAATAATTAAAAACCATATTTGAATCATATCGTAAATAAATTATTTTATTAAACTGGTTAAGATATTAATTTAATCATTTAACAATTCAATCAGAAGGGTTGATCTTGGTTTTCATATTATACTCATTAATAACGAAATACATTACTTGATGATGACATCTCACTGCAGTCTTTGACCCAAACGCTTGCTATCTTCTTCTAATTTTAATGGCTTTGAATTGGAGAAAAAATGCAATTGCCACTTGAAATAAAGCCTAACAAATTCCCAATGAATGACCCCAAAAAAAAAACAAAGAAAGAAATTAAAGAATGGAAAAGACAAACAACACGCTTAGCTAGAATCTTGGCTCCACTCTTACTTGATGAAACTATAGTCACAACTACTTTTTTTTTTTAATTTAATGTATCTTTTACTTTGATTTTTTTTTTTGTTTCAGTACTGAAATTATTGAAGTCTACTATAAAATATCAAAATTGAGTATTGAATATGTTGAAATTAGGAGTATTGAAAATATCACACATAAGAGTGCTGAAAAAATCAACTCCAACAATTTTATAATTCCAACCAATAAGAAGATTTTTTTTTTAACTTTTTTTTTCAAAATTTACATTCCTGATCAGCTAGAATTAATATTTTTAGAAGGTGCTTAGATGTGATATGCTCCATTTTCAACATAGCCAACCAATCGCATTTTCCATTCCTCAATTACATGTTATTTTATTCAATTCAAATATTTGAATTTATCATCACAAAAATATCGCCCGTGATACAATCAAATAATTAATCCTATATGTGGTTATAATTTGTTTTATAACACTCTTTTTTTCTTTAAATATATTATATATGATTATATTAATTAGTTTGGCAATGCGCACATTTTATCTTTTAACTTTATACAGAGTTTTATTTTAATCTTTTAGTTTTATAAAATATATTTTTAGTCTATTAACCCTAACATTACTAGTTTCATCAACAAGAAATCCATATATTAAAATTTTAAACATTAACAAAATATTCTTAAATGTTCACATATTAAATTTAACTTTTAAAATAATAATAATTGATATAAAAAATAATCATTTAAAACTAACAACATTAAGAACAAAAGACTAAAAAATATTTTATAAAATTAAAGTACTAGATTGAAATCTTATATAAAGTTAGAAAATCAAAAGTACATATTAATATGTTAGTTAAACTAAGAGCATTGAAAGGTAAAATTTCCTTACAGCATGAAATGATACTTAAATCTTCTAAATGAGCATGTGTATATTCGCTATGATAAAAATGGGATAAGGAAGGATTAAATTAAATCTATTATTATAACCTTTAAAAAAAATACTTGATTACTTAACTTAACTTCTTGTTTTAACATGAAAATCTAACTGCTGCCACAACCATTTTTTAGGAAGAATTACTTTAAGGTTCCATTCAATATAATTAATTACTAAATTCACAATTAATTTTTCCTAAAACTGAAATAATTAATTATGTTAAGTAGAAGTGTATGTAATTATCCCTATTTTCAACCAGATATATTTGTTCCCTTACCATAAAGCTTTTGGAGATAAGAATTCATTCTTACATTATTATAAAACTGTACAAGTCTTTTTTTTGGGTTGACTTTTGACTTTAGAAAAGATGGACAACAAGCCGCAAGTTCTTTGGTGGATTCTTTGAAATAATATCCTCCAGACTCCTTTGAATATTCTACACCGCACTCCTCGGAGATTATATATTCTCACTAATAATATAAATATATGTCGGTCTTTCTAAATTACCTATGTACCCTCCTGAAGTTCCACCTTGCTTATCTCTCCCACGCTATATTCTAACCACCAACATAAACAATTTAATTCCGCCAGTAAACAAATCAGAACAATGAAAATTTATTTACATACTCACTTGTCTATGCCCAAAAGTATCCTATTTTGGGCATATCCCAATCATATTTTCATGCACAAATTATATGATTAAAATAATAAAAAAAATTATCACTGAATGTTTGGATTAATTAACTAGAAATTTCAAGTTCGAGCCCTAAATATATTGTGAATAAAATTTTGGGTGTATATGTAAAAGGTCCAAAAATAAAACTTGCTTTATGAAGGGTCCAATTTTTATATTTTTTTATTTTTGTAGTTTCTTTTAGCCTTTTATTATATTAGGTTTAGACTTGTAGTTTTTTAAAGAATGGTCCAAGTTCTAGCTTAATAGTCGCTTAATCCCTCCTGGACTAACCCGACTTAACCTTGAAATTAGTTTTCTAATCCAAATTGAGTCGTTAAGGGCCGTTTGAATTTCAATTTGATATAATTGATTATAAAAATAATTAATTAATATGATTAATTTTAATTATAATTGATTATGTTATAACACAATCTGTTTAGATACTATTTTTTTGAAATTGATTTTAGCTATACAAATTACCATAAAATACATTACTTTTCAAAATTAAATTATTAATAAAGTTGTATTTAATATTATTAAATTTGTTAAACTTTATTTAAGAAGTAAAATATATTATTTAACAGTAAAATAAAATCTATAAACAACCTCTCACAGCTTATATTAAAACATGATTCTAGCTTAATAATCAATTATCATATTTTTTGGCTATTTGGATAATTTTTATTAAAATCAGTTATTTGGCTGAAAAAATCGATTATCTATGCAATCCAAACAGGCTATAACTAGTCCAGTGACATTGTGACCTCTAGCCTGATCCAGCGATTCTTAAAATTGATTTAATGCACAAAATTGTGGATATTGTTTGCTTATATGTATGATCGGAGGAGGGAGTTTTTTTCTTGTCCTTTGTGATGACGTGTGAATGTAAATTACAGTTCTGTAAAGTTTAGCTGCCATGGAGTCATGAGAACCTGGAAATATAAATGCCAGTGCTCGTCAATAACAGAGAAGTTCAAGGACTAAATTGGCCATTTCATTTAGGGCTGATAACAGCCACACTCGACAGAGAATCATTGAATGGGTTATTTTTGTTTGATTCTCATGAAGACCCATCCAATTAACTAAAGTCAATAAACGAATGCCACAACTTGCCTCCATGAATGCTATCTCCTTTCACACGGTAAGAGAAACGCCAGATGCCACATGTTTTAAGCCACCTCAGTTAAGTTTTTCTTGCGCCTTATTTGTCAATCTGGTCTCTTTCAATTAAATGATCCATTCACTAATTCTATTTATAAATCACTTTTATTATTTTTATAAGTAAAAAAGAAAATATTAAATTTCATTAATCCTATCTAAAAATTCAACAAGTTTTTTTAACTTAATCTCTATTAAATATATTTTTTTAAAAAAATGAAATACCATAATATACTCTCAATTTTTAAATATAAGAGAAAATAATGAATTTCGATAGTTTAAGAAAGTGAGTTAAGTATACTAATCATGTCTGAAATTATAAAATTTAGACTAAATCATCTCTGTAATTAATATAATAAAATTTTCTAGTGAAAATGAGCATTGATTTTATGAGGGACAATTTTAAAAAAAATGTGATAAATGTCTTTTGAAATTTGTAGTTTTGCCTATAAATAAAAAATAAAGAAAACACATGGTAGTTTCTCTTATATCATAAAATAGATGGAGTATTTCATAATCTTTGCAATATTTAATAGGAACAAAAAGATAAAAATAGACATAATAATTATTGAGGTATCTTATAAATATAACCAAAATAAATACCATCTCTACTCTAAACTTCCTTCAGTGACTATTATATATAAGATATAATTCTAGAAGAATTCTTTAGTCCTTCGTATAAAGCACATAGATGGTTACTTGTTACTCCCTTCGTCCCAAATTATAAGACACTTTTAAACAAAATTTTACATACTAATAAACCTCATTAAATACACTTAACAACCTTATCTTTTCAAAATAAAAATACAAACTTTCACAAATACCCATCATTTAATATATTGAAAAGAGAAGGGATAAAAATTAATTATAGAGAGAGAAAGGGTAATATTAGAATTAATTCATTTAATGAAACCTTAATTTATCCAAGATGTTTTATATTTTAAGAAGGAAAAATTTTTTTAAAAGTGCTATATAATTTGAAACAGATAGAATACTATTTTTTTTATTTTACCCCTATTATAAATTTAATTTTATCACTAGTAATATACCAAATATCCTTCTCTTCTTAGTTTTAACAGGAGTAAAGTTGAAAGATTTTTTTATTTTAAGATACATTTAATAAGTTAGCTGTTTGCCTTATATTAGAGATAAATAATGAGCCACGCCACCGTGAAGGATACATGAGCTCTCCTACCTTGCACGCTTCTTCTTCTTACTCCTGAACGAGAAGTAATATTTGCGTTAGTTTCTCGACTTCATTAATGTGCTGTTGGCCTGCATCAGGTAAAGGCAAGAGTATCTGACTCTGTGTGTGCGCGCGCGCGCGCGCGCGGGTGAGTGTATAATATAATCTTCCAGTGGAACTGGAAATTCAAGAGCGAAGAACATGGATATTCCTGCAGACTCTGCAACAGTTGAATCTCAGGAGCGAAGAACATTCGCTCTTCCTGTGGATTCTGAACACAAGGCCACAGAGTTCAAATTATTCTCAGTGGCTAAGCCTCACATGCGAGCATTTCATCTTTCATGGATTTCCTTCTTCTCATGCTTCGTCTCAAGCTTCGCTGCGCCTCCTCTGCTTCCCATAATTCGTGATAATCTCAACCTGACAGCCACAGACATTGGAAATGCTGGGATTGCTTCTGTTTCTGGTGCGGTTTTCGCGCGAATCGCCATGGGCACTGCTTGTGACTTGTTTGGCCCTCGTCTTGCTTCTGCTTCTATCATTCTCCTTATAGCACCAGCAGTTTGTCTCTCCTCCATTATCTCATCTCCTACCTCCTTCCTTCTCGTTCGCTTCCTCACCGGCTTCTCTTTGTCCACCTTCGTCTCAACCCAGTTCTGGATGAGCTCCATGTTCTCTTCCCGAGTCGTCGCTTCGGCTAATGGACTTGCAGGTTATTAAACTTTGTTCAATTATATTAGCTACTCCCTCTCAATCCCTATTACATGCACAGGATGCCTTCTAACAAAAATTATTTAATTCTCAATATTGAGGCACCTGATGGATATCAAATTTTTAAATACGTTGCTATAATATTATTTTTTTTAAATTCATTAACTATGGGATAAAATTTAATACAAATTTGAATAATTTTCATTTAAATAAAGGTTAGATTAAAAGTTCATTATATTTTCAGATAAAGTATTTTCTTGGCCAAATTTTTTTAAACAAAGTTAATGATCTGTCTTTATATCAAAATAACTTAAACCAATTTGATTAGACTCACCTTAATTTTGTTTTTTTAAGAGGCCTTAGGTCTATAATATTTATTTTTCATTTCTTCTCTTTTTTTTTTTTTGCTTTCTTTTTTACCCTAATTCCCTTTCTCCATTTTCAAAGCTCTGATGCCGTATTAAACTTTATTAAATTAGGTATGTTTTATATTGTCTTTCTATTAAAATAACTTGAGCTAATTTAATAGTGCTCATCTAATTAATTTTATATACCTCCGGTTCATTCTTCAATTAATCAGTGCAAGACTTTTTCGATATATTCTAAGGGCCCAACTTTTTAGAAACACTTCCCAACTTTTCAGATGTGAGAAGTTGTTTAAATATTTTTTAAGTAGTCAAATTGACTTTTCAAACGTATTTTGATAATTTCATTGACAGTGAATCCAATGTGTGTAACTTTGGTCAGCCTTTTAAACTGACTTCCAAAATCTTTCCAACACAGGTGGATGGGGCAACCTAGGAGGAGGAGCCACACAACTTGTGATGCCTATTGTATTTGGACTCATACGTGATATTGGAGCAGTCAAATTCACAGCATGGCGAATAGCTTTCTTCATTCCTGCCATTTTTCAAATGTTAACAGCTTTTGCAGTGTTCATATTTGGCCAGGATTTGCCAGATGGGAATTTCCATGGCTTGAAGAAATCAGGGGAAAAGCCAAAAGATGACTTGAACAAAGTTTTGTTCTTTGGGGTTTCAAATTACAGAGGCTGGATTTTGGCTTTGACTTATGGATATTGCTTCGGAGTCGAACTTACAATCGACAACATCATAGCTGAATACTTCTATGACAGATTTAATCTGAATCTTCGCACAGCAGGAATAATTGCTGCAAGCTTTGGATTAGCTAATGTATTTTCTCGACCTGGAGGAGGCTATATATCAGATTTAGTGGCAAAGAGGTTTGGAATGAGAGGTAGTGTTAACTTCTTTATATTATATTAACAATGTTTAAAGATAATCTACTTCGTGAAAGTAACTCCAATCATTTGTTAAAGTCAATAATTTAAGTAGGCCAAACTTATTCAAGCCCAAACTTATTTAAATTAATTTTAAAATACTCAAACATATAAAAAAGTTATATAGTTAAGTCTAACCCTAATACATCGTGCTTATTCAGACTATTTTGAATACTCAAATTGTTAAATATTATTTTATTTTATTAGCTAATTTTAATTTTTATCTTAAAAAATAATTTTTTTCACTTTTTATGTCATTTTAATTATATTTTATAAATAATAATAATAAATTGGATATTTGAGTTAAGCCCATTAAAATTCAAGCTTTGTCTAAATTTCTTCATATTTATTTGCACGGTTTGAATAATCTTAAAGTAAAGAAAATTTTTTAAATTTTTAAATTTAATTTTAAGATTTTTCGAGCTTAATTGAAATAGCTCATTAGTTTGACTTAAATTATCATTTTTTAGGCAGACACATTTTCAATTTTATATATTGATAATGTATTTTTAATTTCTAATTGTGGGATTTCTTTAATCTCTGATAGGTCGGCTTTGGGCCTTATGGTTGTGTCAAACTTTGGGAGGTGTGTTCTGTGTAATACTTGGGAAGGTGGCATCTTTAACAGTGTCCATCATCGTCATGGTCATATTCTCTATATTCATTCAAGCTGCCTGTGGGATGACATTTGGGGTGGTTCCTTTCGTCTCTAGAAGGTACGTTTTCCTTTCTTTCTTTCTTTTTTTGGGTTTAAAGCTTTCTTTTCAAATCCTTAATTTACAGCAAATTAATTTTGCTTTCAAAGTTTCAAGGGTCGATTAAGCTGTCAAAAGGAAAAGAAATTAATAAGAAACTTCTGGTTTAGTAATAAGTATAGCTTTTTAGGAAAAAGGGGCCATCAAAACAGCGGTATATACCGGACCAAACTGGAAAAAGATATATATATATATATATATATTATATAATATATTCAAAGTCTTCCCGCCTTTGTTGATTGTTGAAAAATCAACAAACGTGTTTTTCTTACATGTCCCTGTCATGAGGAGCTTTCTAAGAGATTATTTAGTCATTAATTTAAAATACTTGATGTATTGTTAATTACATTTTTTTTTCCAATATTACATTTAGGACTGTGCAAAGCTCAACATAGTAGTCCGACACAATCCAACCCAAGCTAGACTTTTTATTTGAGTTAAGACTGAGTTATTAGACTATTCAATCTAATTTAGTCCTATGAAATTTTTTTAATATAAGTTTTTTTAATATAATTGAAGTTCACTCATGCATCTCATTTCAATGCTGTCTCGCCTGCTAGTGTTATTAGCTTTGTAAATTCTTTAATAAAATTTTTAATTTGTTAATTATTGTTCTCTGTTTTGTATGTTTTATTAGTTCCGCATGCATGTGTAAAGATGACAAGTTCTTATTCAGTCTTAAAAGAGTGAGGGTGAAGCCTAGTATTGCTTTTGGCTTTTGTTTTTCCTTATTAGAAGAATTCCAATAAATTAAATGATATAATAGTTTGATTAATTAGTCTCGCATAGTGTGATTATTACAAAATACTCCCTTCATTTAAAAATATAAGGTATTTTTAATTGAATCTCACCTTCTAATAAAGTAGTTAACTACTTTCCAACTAACCATATCTTTCCATATTTATCCCTATTAAATACCTTACAATAAATATAAAGTTATTATCAATAGGGGCACTTTTAAAAAAAAGACAATGATTACACCTCGAAAGATTAAAAATGTAACTTCTCAAAAAATGCTTTACATTTTTAAACGAATGGAGTATACCTATTTTATCTAACAAGTAAGTTAGAGGAACTGTTTAGTTAAATCTAAGGTCATGTGTATAATTTTGGGGTCTTCCATATTGCTTGTTGCAATGTAATTTAGACTTATTAAAATTTGTTAAACACTACTATAAATTTATCATTATTGACTGTAACTTGACTATTTTTCGTTAAATATTGTTGAAAATTGTTATGTATTTATTATGATATGGTTTGATGTTATAGATATAAGTATTTTTGTTGTTTTAATTGATTTTATTAAGTTGAATTGTTGTCTCCCACAAGGAAAAGGAAAAAAAAAAAACAAATTGAGATAGACTGATTGTTTAAACTAATCTCCCAATTTTATGGACCAAGTTTGGTCTAACTTGATCTTGGGTTCTTTCTAGATCAAACTAAATCATGTATTGCCTAACCTGATCTCTTTTATGAAAAAGATCAAATTTCGAATTAAGTTAAAGTCTTGTCCTATCCATCCTATGTACAACCTTAATTACCCCTATTTAAAATTATTGACTATGAGATAAAATGTAATAATACAAATTTAAAAAAAATTCATTTAAATATGGGTAAAATTGAAAATTAATTATATTTTCAGATAAAGTCAATAATTTAATCATCTTTTCTTTATTTTGGTGTGGTAATTAGATGTGCTTTATAATTGGAACTGGAAGGAGTATACTTCCTTCATTTTCAAATATATAAGAGAATTTCAAACAACTCAAATTTATAGTTTAAAAAAATTAGCTAACCCTAATAATTATATTTGAAATTGAAATGTTTGGACTAAAATATTTTTGTAATTAATGTTTACTTTTTTTTCTCTAATTTAATGATACTCTCGATTTATGAGAGACAATTTAAAACAATGTAATTGATATTTTTGAAATTTATAGTTTGTCTTATAATAAAAATAATAAAATATAAGGTAGTTTCTATTATCTTTAAAAACAGAGAAAGTATACTCCATACTTTCTGCATCATAGTTTCAGCAATATACATTGAGGATAATTGATTTACGGTATTAATAATTGGTGGCCAGATATCAATAGATCTACTATATATTGACAAAGTGCTCAAAACTTTACTAATCCTTTGCATTTATTGATATATTTCAGATCATTGGGGGTCATATCTGGAATGACAGGAGGTGGAGGAAGTGTGGGTGCTGTGATAACCCAGTTAATATTCTTCAGAGGATCAAAATATTCAAAAGAAACTGGTATAACCTTAATGGGTTTGATGATCATAATCTGTACTCTCCCAATATGTTTGATTTATTTCCCACAATGGGGTGGCATGTTTTGTGATCCATCGTCTGAGAAAGTTGCAGAAGAAGATTACTACTTGTCTGAGTGGAGCTCAGAGGAACAAGAGAAAGGGTCTCACCATGCAAGCTTGAAGTTTGCAGATAATAGTAGAAGTGAACGAGGCAGAAGTTTGCCAGGTCACCATGTGTTTGATTCTCACAATTAATGCCTATATATACACATATAGATGCTCAAGAATCAACTTGTGTCAATAATATTCTTGTTCTCTTATGTGTATATATATAGAGAGAGAGAAAAAGAGTAAAGGAGCAAATTTATCCTCCAACTATTTTTTGAGGAGTATGAGGTCTCCGATAGGACACATCACAAATGTCAGCATCTCCCAACTTTCATATGCTTTACACACACACACACTCTTCCCGAATTTCATCTTCTCTCTCTAACCCATCAAGTGGTCCCTCTCACTTTTAAGCTGCTATTCTCTTAAACCCAAAAGCCATAGCTAAGCCATGCTTGGACCTGAGAGTGCTTCAGTTTTCGGAAGGCTGACCAAACATCATGTTCAACCCTGACAAGCCATAGTTTGAGAGAACCTCAGAAACATCGTCTTGTCCTTGAGTGAGAGTGTGAAGCACAAAACAGAGTGTGAAGCACAAGTCATATGCAAGATGAAATTATCATGTATATCATGGCCTTGAATATGAATCCTAATTACATAACTAAAACACTAGCTATTATCAATATCCAAAAAACACAGACGGTACCAAGCACATGATCACCAGTAATGGTAACTTCACGGGAACCCGAAAAAGCAGATCAATCATAGGCGACTTCCATTGCAACCAAAGAAACAAAGCAAATTCCAGTAACGTGCCCAAACTGTACAATAAATTCGCAGAGGAAATGATATCCTAGAAACTCAAGTATGAAACTCCAAGTGCTCTGTTTCAAAGACATCAAACATGGGTTGAAATGTCCCGGGCCACAGCTAGGTTCCATTAGTGAGAAATAGTGCTTGCATCGGATCCATAGTGATAGAACCACGTTTATGGCAAATCTGTGTCAACTTGTTGGCGGCATTCAGCAGTCTCTTGCAGTCTGGGGAAGAAGAGAGTTGAGGTTCTTGAGGCCCTCAAGCTTATCAGAAGGATCATCCATAGGGGTAGATTTGGTGGGAATGGGTGTCTTGGGTGTGAAGATGAGGATGAGGGGAGCATCATGAGGCTGTCATCATTAAACCAAGACTTGCTAGCGAAGCTGTAGTGATATGATGGAGGATGAAATCTAGGAAGACAGAGAGTGTGTTAAGCAGATGAAAGCAGGGAGGTGCTGAACATTTGTAGTGGGTCCAATAAATTTGAAAATAAACTGCCTTTGGTGGAAAATAAACAAGAGGTGTCAGATGCTTCATTTTTGTCATGAGTTGATGAATTTCTTTATACCACCTAATAGCATAGAATACCCAATGCTTATTGTAAAATAATTGAAGGTTAAATTTGATCCTTTAAGCCACACACATGGATATGGGGATATCATGTCTTTGCCAATCCAAAGATATGAAGGCCATTTATTGATTAATATCATGTTTCTTGCTAATATAGCCGGATGTAAAGGCTATGCTAATTATGTTGTGCCATGTTGGTTTCACGCATTGAAATGTGTGCTTTATCCCATGCCATACTACCTCGTGCCATATTTATTACATTTATATCATTATGTCTTCCCTTTTTGCTAATTGCAAAGAAATGCACTTGTAATCATTGTGTGAGAGATTAAATATACATTATTTAAAAATAAACATATATTAAATAATATATTGTTAAGAATACATAAATGTTGCATTTCATTTTCAATTATTAATATGAAAAAATAATTTATATTATTATTTATTTGACTATTTATATTATAAAGTAAAATTCCATGTTTGAACAGTTCTAATTCTCATTGTTTTTTTATTTTGCCATTCACTTTTTAGAAGAGAATAAACACTCCACATAAATCTCTCACTAATTATATGATCATATTACTTTGCTAATTTCCTCGCCATTTAAGCAATTTGAAGAGGACTATATTGTTCTTGCCCATGATCCCTCACTAATCAAGCAAATTAGAGAAGAACATGCTATTCCTTATTAACTTTCCTTGCCAAATTATATAAACCACAATACCTCTTTTTTACTCAACACTGCATCGAAGTCTTTTTGCAATTCAACTTCCATATTGAACAGACGAGGATATGGTGTCCTCAAAATTATTTATCTTCTTCTGTATACCATCAAATGTGCCAACAGCAACTTCCTTTTTCTTCCTTCAATATTCTTAAAAACTTCCTTATTCCACCTTCCCAATTCATTTCTTGAATGTCCCATATTTTCACCAACATCGCGTCTTGTATCCTCCAATTATTCCGCATGAAAGAATTCAAGTCCTCATGCATTAACCATGTGGCATGAAATCTGAACGGTCTACTAGTTCGGCTACCATTAACGTCCATGGTTTTCTAATACTCAAAGAAAGCCTCTTCATTTCTTCCCAAAAACATCTCTTCCCATCCTCTCTTGGAGAAACATAAACCACAGTGAGCAATAGCCAAGGGATTTATATCATTCAAAAAAGAAACTTCAAACAGACCATACTGCATAATTTTTCTGAATCTGCAGTTGGACATCCACTCTGCATGACTCCTAGCCTACCCAAATACCTCCAGCATGACACTTCCCTCAATTGCCGCACACTCGTCAAAGATTGGGCACATCTGGCTCAATTTCGCTCTCTTTTGGGAAAATGCAATGGAATGTAATAGGATGCAATGCAATATTAATATTATTTTGGAATAGAAAGATGATAATAAAATGCAATGAAGATTCATGGGAAGGAAATATGAATGAGTATTACCAGCATTTTGGTAACGATGTGTAATAGTCATTATCATGAATTTACCTCACAAGCTAACCACTTTTCTAATGATAATGTAATGCTAATTATCATTGCTTATGTGCAATAGCATTGAACCAAATGGCCCTTAAGTTTATGAAAATCATCTGTGGCTTTGGACCCACGCACTTCCACTAAAGCAAGCAAATCAGCCCCCATTCTCAGTCACCAACATCCTCAACTCCTTTCAAATTCCATTCCAAAAAATTCTTATCCATTAAAGAAAAAAAGAAAGATAAGATGTAAACAATGCCTCAATCGATAGCATGATCGATTTCTTAGTCATCATTACATCTCCTCTAGCACTTTCTTCATTACTCTCAACAAAATCGTGCTCTGCCTCTATGAAAATCCTCTAGACCTAGTGGTCTCGCATTGAAGGTCCCTATGAGGCCCCTTTCCATGTCTTTAACATACACTCTGCAGAATATTCTCCTCATTGACCCCGTCAACCTCCTTAGTCACCTTCATGATACCTAAAAAAAGATTCCATGACTTCCTTTCCCTCATTCAACCCAGAACCTCTTCTTTAAGATTTCAATAATAGACTATGCTGCCCAGTTTGGACCTTTCAATAATTACTCATCTACCCCTCTCCTGGACTTGGTTTGGACATTCTTTTTCAAGACACCCAAATTTTCAGCACTCAAAGCAAAGGAGATGCAAACCTTCAATTATATACTTCGACAGACAGAACTGGCTTACTCAAATCCATTTGCACTGCAATTCTTGCAAAGCTGCCTCTAATCAGTGAAGTGGACATGCCCACCTTAACAACTTTGCCAATCTGATTCCCAAAACATTCAGGCACTTCCTCTTCATGATATTTCAGCGACAAATATGTGAATTGTAGCCAAACAATCGCCTCTTCAATTGTGGCTCTTATGTAGAGTCGGAAATAAGGGTTGAGCCTAAAGGCTCGGGCTTAAAGATCCTGTTTAAATAAGGGTTCAAGCTTTAGAAATTAAACTTTTCTTAAAGCAACCAGGCTTGAGGACCTATCTTGATATTCGGGCGGCTCTTCAAGCCTTGATAAGTCAAGCTATTTTATATATATGTATATACATACATACATATATTTGATTGATAATGAAACAATTGGATTAATATTTATTATAGGTGATGAAGAAAAAATTGCAGAAATAATTGACATTAAATCTCTACCTCCATCTTCAACAAGTGGACCTACATTTAAAGGATCTAATATTTTATTTTTAAATGATAATGAGGAGGATTTAAATTTACATTGATAAAAATTAAAAATCTTCATCTTAAATTTAAAATTAATAATTTTGTTGAATTTTACGTGAGACTTTAATTTATTTTATATTAAGTTTTAAAATATTCTGTTTAAATTAAAATGTTTGATTTTTTTCAAGAAAGAAGGCTTAAAAGCCTGACCCTAAACTCTATATATGAGGGACAAGGTTCAGAATTAGGTCAAATGTTGAATAACTAGACTTTAGGACCTAAGCCCTTAAGGGCCAAGCCTGCCTTGATTTTCACCTCTACTCTTATAAGATCAACGTGAAGGCATCATTCCCTAACAACTAATCATAGTAACTAACATTAGCTTATAAAAATAAATAAATAAAGCAGCAAAAGCAACAACAATAAAAATAAAAAAAATACTAATGATAAAATGAACAATGACATTTCCCAACAAAACCATTTCAAACAATACCAACTTTAGTCCACAAAGCTTGGATTCAAGGATCCCTATTCGGTGCTCATCAAGATTGATAATCACCGTGTGCTCATCACTCCTAGAGTAATCTTGGTCTATCATTTCACCTCAAATGATCTTTGTCATTGATTTTAAATTATTTTTAAAATATTTTTAATGTTATATTTATCAAAATAAAACTATATAAGAATTATAAAAAAATTAATATTAAATTTGAACTATTCAAAGTATATCTAAATAGTTAATTTGTAAAAATTAGAAGAAAAATTTAGCATTAAAAAGATTGTCCAAATTATATTTATACTATTTAAAGCACATTTGAATAGACAACTTATAAAAATTATAAAATATTTAATATTTAATTAAGTTATCTAGATTAAATTTCAAATTTGTATTGGCCAGATTAGTTATTAATTTTTTTTAAAATTTTTATTTTGATAAACATAATATTAAAAATATATAAAGAATAATTTAAAATTAACAGCATAAATCATTTGAGGTAAAATGAAGGCTCAAGATCACCGTATTGGGTGATGAGCACCACATGCGAATCCCACCGCCACTGAGGCGCTTTAGAGTTTGACTGTAAGTCCATCTTCATTTGCCTTAATCTTCTTCGTACTTCGCTGGAGGAGATCGGTTTCCTACGTCGTCTTCCCTAAGTCACCGAGTGCATATCAGAAGACCCTTGCATTATACTACGGGCACTAATAGGTTTCTTAATTAATGATTATGAGTGCAAAAAATATGCCAATGCCCAACACGCTGTAATATGTGAAAAAGAATCTATCTTTTAAAGTCAATAATAATAGTTCATTAGAATATTTAGTTTTTGAGTTATGTAATATTTCAAAACGATGACAATAATTTATAGGAGATCATTTGAGGTAGTGGCTATCATACCTCCAAGTCAAGTCAACTTTGTATGCTTGGCGGAGGTAACACGTCAGAATAATTTGTAGTCTTTAACATTATTAGCCGAATTGTTTGCTTGCCGAGTAATTCTTGACTGTAAGACTTTTCTCAAACAGCTTGAGCAGACGCTTCTTCTCTTCATCAGATTAAATGAACTCCAGAATCTCCCAATTCCCCCCTCTGACGCTCAACAATTTTGATATTATTGGCTTCCACTTTCTTCGAATCTCCTCTCCCGAACCTCCAATCCACTGTCTTCAATTCCAAGCTGATCCAATTTTCCGAACTAGCCAAGATATTTTATGGAGGCATCTTGACTTGACTGGCACAACCGACTTGACTCGTACGTGCTTATCATCATCGTCTCAATTTTCCAAAACACCACTGCTTGTTGAACCCTATATATGTACACATCATTGTTACCCCCTTCTCTTCAGTACATCACAAAATTTATATCCCAAAAATGACATCCATCATCAAAATCCTTCCTGTGTTCTCCCTCCTCCTTGCACTTACCTTCACTACTTTTACTCAGGCTGCCAGATTCGATGTCACAAACAGATGTCCCTACACAGTCTGGGCCGCAGCCGTGCCCACGGGCGGTGGCCGGCAGCTGAACACCAACGACATGTGGAGCTTTGACGTGGCTGCCGGCACCGTCCGAGCTCGCATATGGGCCAGAACCAACTGCAACTTCGACGGATCAGGGCAAGGACACTGCGAAACTGGTGATTGTAAAGGTTTACTCGCATGCAATGAATATGGGGCAGCCCCAAATACCTTAGCAGAATTTTCTCTTAACCAATACATGAATAGGGACTTCTACGATATCTCACTAGTCCAAGGTTTTAATGTTCCCATGGAGTTTAGTCCAACTTCTAATGGGTGCACCCGCACCATTCAATGTACAGCTGATGTGAACGGACAGTGTCCTAACGAGCTGAAAGCTCCAGGTGGCTGTAATGATCCTTGCACAGTGTTTAATATGGAACAATATTGCTGTAGTGATTCTTCTAGAACCTGTGGACCAACTAATTATTCTATGTTCTTTAAGGGTAAGTGTCCTGATGCTTATAGTTATCCTAAGGACGATCCCACCAGCCTTTTCACTTGCCCAGGAGGAACCAATTACAAGGTTGTCTTTTGCCCTTGAGTATTGAGTTTGTAGTGCCTTGTTTTCCTACATCTTACTACCTATAAATAAAGAACCAATATTAGGAAAGCATGCTGAGTAGTGGTAGTCTGATTTGGTTTGCTGATATGTGTGGTTTCTCGTTTGATTGAGGCTGAGTATTGCTGATTGTACTTTTGGTCCTTGCCCCTTGTTTACCCAAAAAAAAAAAAAATCATCATCAATATCTTAGCTTATGTCTTTATCGATCGATGAGATTAATTATAATAAATTCTCAGCTCTTCCTCTCTACTTTCTGTATCAAGCTCTCCTTTCATTCCGTTGTTTTTTATTAGCTATCATTAATATGACATTAATCAAGTGGTGCTTGGTTCAATCGGTTCAAGTCCTAGGATATGCATAAAAAAAAAAACAAAGCATTAATATCACGTTATAGTGTGTGTGAGAGAGAGAGAGAACTAATATTTTTAGCAAATGAATTATTTAAATCTAATTACTCTTTTTAGACCATAACATATAGCATCTTTTACGAGCCATTTTTAATCCAAATTATAGAATATCAGCTAATTTTTATAATTATTTTTCAGTTATATGCATTGAAATTTTGATTGTTATTATATAAGATATTTAATAAGGTATAATTAAAAAGATATAAAATGTTTTAAAAAATAGAGGTATGACCTACTAACATTATTCAAGCTCACTATACACTTTCTACTTGTTTTGGCGGACTTTTAATGTGGACGCAGACATATATAGAATCTTATATATGTATGCTTTCACATTTGTTGTCTATTATTACATCCAAATATGATGAAACTGTAAATAATAATGAACATAACGTTGAATTCCACAAAAGAAAAAATTATATGAACAGGTCATACAAATCAATTTTCTCTTAAATTTTGCTCGAAGACAGATCCAAAAATGAATTCTGCCACTAGGAGAAGAAAATTGAATTTAACATCCGTAATTAAGATCGGTTATGACAACCGATCTAAAACATGTAACCAGTAAATTTTTGTAAAAAATTATTAGTGTGGTGCTTTTTAGATCGGTTAATAATATAACTGATCTGAAAATTATATTCTAGATCAATTATAAATACAACTGATTTTTAAAAAAATATTTTATCAAATAAATGGAAAAAAAATATAGATTGGTTATTGTTTGTCCTAATATACAAGTGGGCCGAATCCAACACTATTGGGCCTGAACTAGGTAAGAAAACTGGGCTTGATCTGTGAAGACTAGAAGGAAAGGTACTTGAAGTTTAAATGAAATGATGCGTTTCACACAGGAGTTGAAACTCTGTCAAGCCACGACACGTGTCGATAAAAACTCGGAGCACTTTGACTTCGTGCCAAAGAGGGATGAGAACAGGCTCAACCCATGCCATTTATTAAATAGACTCATATTAAATTTAGATTTTTAATTAAATTTATTTAATTAAATAAGTCAAGTTTATTTTTTTAAGCCCTAACCTATGATTCCAACAGCCAACTTATTTACATACACATTATGTAATATATCACACACACACACACTAATTTCATCATTTAATTTTTAATCAATCTATTTTCTTATATTTCTAATTATATTTTTGATCATATTAAACTTATATATTAATTTTAATGTTATTACTTTATTATTGTATTGGATTGTAGTTGATAAATTCTTTTAATTATTGTATATTTTAATTGATAAATTAAGTTATATATTTCTACTAATAATCTTAAAGTATGTTTGAAATGTTTGAAACTAAAATGTAAGTTTATTTAAAAGATTTATTTTTAAATTTGAAACTAAAATGTAAGTTTATTTAAAAGATTTATTTTTAAATAGTCATTTAAATAGATTTTCATGTCAAGCTAGGCTTTAACTAAGCTCAAGCTTGAACCATAAAAAAAAGCTTTATATAAGCTTCAAACTATGGTTAAGCCTTTGACTTATTACACAAGCTCAAATTTATTTAGTTAAAGCTTAACTCAACCTAACCTATATACACTCTTAGTGCCAAAGTGGTGAGCCTATTTAAGTTTTTGACTTATCATACAGACTCAAATTTATTTAGTCAAAATCTAACTTAGTCTAACCTCTATACACCCCTAGTGCTAAAGTAGTGAGGATTGTTCCCCAAAAAAAAGGAAAAAAAAAAAAGAAAAAAAAAGGCGGGTGAATTCCAAAGTCAATCATAAAGCAAATGACCTCACTAGGTAAAAATTGATATAGCACAAAGAAAGGCATAATAACACCATCAATCAAACAAGTAAGGCCTGCTTTGGTTTCTATTTTCATTTATTGTTAAAAATAATTTGATATCATAACAATAACAAACAATAAGCCTTTATCTCATTAAATAGGGTTAACTACATGAATTGCAAGACGTCATTATCCTTTATCATTTATCAAGCTTTTAAAAATATTATTAATTAAGAGATTGTGTTCAACAACTTTCAAAAGTGATCTCTTAGGCCTTCCTTTACCTCTTTTAATAAAGTTCAAAATTATATATTCCATTCTTTTCATTGGTGCAAGAAAGATTATTTTTATAGTATAGTTGTTAAAATTATTTTTTAAAACAAAATAAAATAAAAATTTGTTTGATTATGTCAATTAAAAAATAATTTTAAAATTAAAAAATGAATTGATAGTTATGATTATAAATAGTTAATAGTGATGATTAATAATACAAATTAATCAAGATAACTAGAATTTTTAATAATCAAATGTAATGTATTTTAAAAACAAGAAAAATAAAATGAAAATAAGTTAAAGTTGATTCTATTTTTGTTTTTAAAAATAAAAAATGAAAACAATTTCAGAAACTATTAAATGAAAAACATTCATCCAAACAAGATTTTAATTTTTTATTTTTAAAAATAAAAATAATTTTTAAAAATTGAAAAAAAAAAAGAGGGTCTTAGATTCCCAGACAATCAAGCCCCAACCAAATGTGACCCTTTCTGATCTAGGCCCCAACTAGATTTGTTACTTTGCATTCAAACTCAAGTCACCAGAACTACCAAGTTCTTGCGTACTGTATTTCCTTTTCAATCAATGTAAATTACTTTCCCATGCATAATTTTGTGCCTATAACTCACATAACTTAGACATTTCAAGAGAATTGCGATTGAAAGGAGCAAGAGAAATATGAAAAAAAAATATCTTGTCAATTATTGAGCTAAAAGGTACAATATATGCATCAGAAAAAAGACAACATAATAATTATTAATAATTATATAATAATATCAAATAATATCTCCTAATAATGATTGAGATATAGACACAATAATGATAGAATATTTGAAGAATATTTTAGATAATATTCCCCTTCAAACTCAAGATGGTTTGACAAAAAGCAACTTGAGTTTGTCTACCAAGAACTAAAAGTGGCCTAGACAAAAAGACTTTTTAAATAAGTCTACCGGTTGATGCTTGGTTTCGAATTGGAACGAGTTGGATAGTGCCCCTAACAACATGCTGCCGAGTGAAATGGCAGTTAATCTCAATATGTTTAGTTCGTTCATGAAATACATCATTGTGAGCAATCTTGATTGTAACTTGATTGTTACAATATATGTCTATGGAGAGCCAAGGAAGATACAGAAACTAATCGTAGATTGTCGATCATCACGATCACCACCCTAATCGACGTCGAAATAAGCTCACAGTGTAAGAGAGGAGCTAGCAAAGAAGTGAAGTCCATGATATAAAGTGCCTCTAATGTACCGAAGGATCCGAAGAACTGCTGCATAATGAGTAGTTCGAGGATCTGACATAAACTGGCTGACAATGTGGACTGCATAAGCAATGTCAGGGCGGATCACAATAAGATAAATAAGGCCCCCAACCAATTGGTGGTAACGGGTGGGATTATCTAACAAGGCACCATCAGTGGAAGTATAGTGAACGTTTGGCTCGATAGAAGTATTTTCAACCTTCTCATCAGAAAGATAAGCTCGAGATATCAAATCAATAGCATACTCGCCCTGAGAGAGAGAGAGAGAGAGAGAGAGAGAGAGAGACTACCTCTCCTATGATAGACCTCAAGTCCAAGAAAATATTTCAGGTTACTAAGATCCTTCATTTCGAATTGCTACCCCAAGTATATTGTGAACTCCTGGACTCTTGTATCATCACTGCTTGTAATAATCATGTCATCAACATACAACAACAACAAAACAATACCATGAGTAGTAGATCAAACAAAAAGAGCTGAGTTGTGAGGACTACAACTGAAGCCTAGCTGACTTATAGTGTTACTAAGCTTAGCAAACCATACACGAGGAGCCTACTTGAGCCCATATAAAGCTCGACGAAGGCGACAAACCTTGTTTTTCAGATGCTGATACCTGGGTGGAAGCTTCATATACACTTCTTCCTTTAGATATCTATTCAAAAAAGCATTTTTAACATCCATCTGATGAAGAGACTAGTGCTTAACAGAAATAATGGCTAGAAGACTATGAACAGAATTCATGCGCATAGCAAGTGCAAAAGCCTCCTCTTAATCAACACCATATTCTTGTGTAAACCCTTGGGCCACTAAGCGAGCCTTACATTGCTTTAAAGAGCCATCAGAATGAGTCTTATTTTTATAGACCCATCGACAGCCAACAAGAGTTTTACTAAAAGGAAGATCAACAAGATCCCAAGTGTGCATTTTCTCCAAAGCTTGCAATTCTTCATTCATAGCTTACTGCCATAAGGGATCACAAAAGGCTTCCTTAAAGGATTTGGGTTCCTGTAATTAGAGAATAGTGAAAAAATAATGGTAATCACTAAAGTAAGAGGGCAAGTTTCTTATACGGTGCGGTCGAGTATTGTCAGACAATACGGGCTCAAGAGACATGACTTGTGTGGAAACATCTTGAGGTGTGACAATAAGCATATCAAGAGCGGGCGTAGCATTGGTAATGATCTCTATGGGGGAATTTGCATCAAAGTCACTTGAAGAAAGATCAAGTAAAAGATCTATGAAAATAGAAGGTGAAGGAAGAGAAATGAAGGAGAAATCAGTTAAGGATGAAAACATCATATGTTCCCAGAAAACAACATGATGAGAGATTCAAATGCAAAGAGATATAGGATCCTAGAAATGATAACCCTTATGCTTAGGGTCATAACTAAGAAAATAACAAACACAGGCACAGGCTTGCAATTTGGTAGTTTCATGTGAAGGGAGAAGAACAAAACAAACACAAGAAAATACTT